GCAGAGGGAAAGATTCTGCACGGATAGGGATGGGACCTTTGAGTATTTTGACTGGACCGGGCGGAGCCGGCTATGCCAGCTAGTTTGAAAATGATCTCCATCTACATCCCTCAATTCCACGTCTACTGTTTTCTTTCAGTCACCACAAGCAAGCCAAGAAAAGTCGTCTTACCTTATTCTCTGGTTCTGGATGCAGTGTGGCCAGATCATGCTTGTACAGATAATCGCCAACCTTTAGAAAACGTTTTTGTAAATTCCAATGTAAGGTTTAAAGCTTACATCGATAGCTATCTGCACTGAGAGCTCTCGAATATCCTTCAAACGTGGGTATAGTCGTGCGTAAGTTTGCAATGATTTTTCTGACACGAAATTGGAGCAACGCTAAAATAATCGACCTAGACGCAATTGCTTAGCTCGGTTTCGGATGGACTTACCCGTGCAGCAAGCAAAAATGCCTTGTCGGGAATGTGCTTTGCTTTGAATAGAATTGCAGCGAGGGCTACTCCAGGGAATATGTAGGAGTTATTTCCTTGTCCTGGTTTGAATATCCTCCCATCAATCTCAAAGTTTTCAAATGGTGATCCCGAAGCGAATAATACTGATCCCTGCAAATAAAAAATTTTGCGGACATCATTCTAGGAGTTGAGTACATTAGTTATTCTGTAAGCATCTTCAGCCGTGCATTCGGCTTTACTTGTTGGATTTGAGAGAGCGAAGATAATTGGCCGTGCATTGATTCTAGCCATTTCGGTAATGACCTCTTCCGAAAATGAGCCAGCAACGGTTGAGGCACCTAAAGTTTTTTTTTTTGAAATAGTCTAGAACATTTTTGTAAGCTGCTACTTACCAATAAGTCCATCTGGCTCAACAGTCTTCACGACTTCTAGCAAATTTTTGGTGTCTTTCATGTCCTAAAGGAAATAATTCAGCATCAAACGGCTTCTCTCAGCAGGCTAGGTTACTCCTTTGGAAAGTGATTGGAAAATCCAGAGTAAGCCGCTGCTCAAGCTGTAGCTTTCTAATCCGTTCGTAGCCGAAGAATTCAACAATGAACTCTCCCCCAGTACTGTAGGAGTGTCGGTCCGTAGGGAAGAGACGCTACTGGGCAAGAGCTTAAAGTTGAATGCTGCTTGGGAATGGCTTAGATATCCTCGAGTCATTTGTGACTCAATATGTGTATTGCACACCTTGCGCGCTGCTTGACGAACTTGCAAGATTGAAGCTGTCCACTTACAATGATTCTTCTTCATTCTTTGTCTTCGATCTGTTTGTACTGGAGAACCAGCAATGTAAAGGG